AACAGGACTTTCTACTCCCACAAAAAGTTAACAGTCTGAGAAACACACAGAAGCAGTTCTACCTTGTTCTATAAGGTCGCTATGTGTCAGGACTGATTTGATGGCAATGAGTTTGATTTTGAATACTAAATTCAAGTAAGAGATCTGTATATGACCTCCTCTCTAGGGGACGGACAATAGAAAAGTGGGGGAAGGGAGATGTCGGACAGAGTTAAGACATGACAAAATAAGTAATAACTTATAAATGATCAAGGGTTCATGAAGGTAGGAAGGGAGGGGAAAAATGAGGAGCTGATACCAAGGGCTCAAGTAGAAAGCAAATGTTCTGAGAATGATGAGGGCAACAAATGTGCAAATGTGCTGGACACCATGGATGTATGTATGGATTGTGAAAAAGGTTGTATGAGCCCCCAATAAAATGATTGGGGAAAAAATTTAGTAGTACGACTATCTAAAGTAAAATTACTAAATCAGAGTAGCCAAGATAAATAAATAAATCCAAGTGGCACTGCAAGAAGTAGTGCATGTAACAGCTTCACATGTTCAATAAATGTTCAATAAACAGCTTCACAGTGCAATAAATCACGTTGAATAGTTAGTTCTCTTTGGTTGTGTATCTTCATTTTTCGTTCTCCTTGGTTGCCTTGAGTTTAGTAACCTTACGCTATGATGCAAGTCATAATTTTCCACTACTAGAATATATTTTATAAGTTTGTAGCTCACAATATCATTCCTCATTTGAAAATGGGGTCAGAATTGACTTGGTGGCAGGTTGGGTTTTGAAAATACTCTATATAAAACAGGTAAAATTAAGAAATAAACTCTCAGAGGGGGAGGTGGGAAGAAAGGTGGTGGTGTTGGCAAACCCAGGGACAAGGGAACAAATGATCCAAATCGGTGGTGAGGAAGGTTTGGGAGGCGTGGTAGGGCGTGATCAAGGGTAATGAAACCAAGAGGAATTACTGAAACCAAAAGGAAGACTGAGCATGATAGTGGGACAAGAGGAAAGTCAAAGGAAATAGAGGAGGGAGCTAGGAAGCGAAGGGCATTTATAGAGGTCTGAGTGAAGGCATGGACATATGCAAATATACTTATATGTGGGGATGGGGCAATAAATCTATATGCATGTTATTTATGGGTTTAGTATTAGGGTAGCAGAGGGACATTAGGCCTCCACTCAGGTGTTCCCTCAATGCAAGAATACTTTCTTCTATTAAACTGGCATTCTGTGATGCTCACCTTCCCGACACAACCACTGAGGACAAAGCCAGTGAGTGGACAAATGTGGTCAAGAAAGCTGACGGTACGCGGATATGAAAAGATACAGCTTCTGGGGTCTTAAAAGGCGTGAAGGTAAACAAGCGGCCATCTAGCTCAGAAGCAACAAAGCCCACATG